TCTTGAGAATTTTTTATATTATAATAATAAAAAATAAAAGTTTGAAGTTTTTGCGAAATTTAAGTTCAGAAATCTATTTATATTCTCTTCGCAACAGTTACGTAACTACAATATTAATTTTATATAATATTACACAAAAAATTTTTATCCAATAAAATTCATTAAAACTTATTGTATATTCCACGGTGCAGGTTAAGTGTCATCCAGAAAAAATGTTAACCAGATTTATTTGCCAGTTTGGTTAGGATTAGAGTTAGTATTAGGGTTAGTATTAGGGTAAGGGCTTTAGGATTAGGATTAGGGTAAGGGGAATTAGGGTTGGATATTTGTCACACAGCATCACATTCTGATTTTTCTTCAATTTTATAATTATTCTGGGGACAGAGAATATTTTTATGAGAAAATATGGGGTGAGTGCTAGGAAAATGGACCAAATTGATTTTTTTTTAAAAAAAAGTTTCTAAGTAAAATAGATGTAGATTAGGTCATCTGATTCATATCATTTGTTATTTCAAAAAAAAAAATTTTTTGTCGATTTGGTCCCTTTTCCCAGCACTCACCCCATATGCTAATTGTCACCCATTATTTGTCATATATTAATAGTTTATGTGAACCGGCAAAATAAATCCGGCTACCATTTTTTCAAGGGTTGTTTGCTCTTTAATATAATATCACATGAGTAACCGACAAGTAATTTTCTTTCCAAAATATCTGTTATCTTCAATTGTAACAAAATAATCATATGATTAAGGAACTTTTCTTGGAAGAACAGATACTTTACTAAGGCTTTTAAACTCATGACATATTGTTCATTAAATATCCTACTTTAATTCTATTCCCACGCGTAAAATATGTCAAGGTCACTAATAAAATGGTTGACAAACATGGCTAACATGGCGTGGAACTTTCTAAACCTTAAAAACCATGTTGATCAGCCAACATGATTTTATAACAGCCAATAACCATCGACGTGTAAAAATGTTTATGTATTTATACCACGCGAATTCGTTTTGGTTCATAAAAAAATGTCGAAACCAGAAAAATATCGTTTGAAACATACTTTGACGGTAACTGTTATTTAAAAAGATTGGTTCATTTTTGATATTAAAACGCGTATAGCTGTAACTTTTTCTTGCAAATTTACTCGTGAAAGAAAAGGAACCGACGAAAACTTCCTTTTATGGAGTGAGTTTCAACCATAATGATTCTCATGGAAACGCTATTTTTGCTGTTGTTGGTGGACGTAATGTAAGATAATATTTAATAAATAAAAAAATTTCAACGCGTATTTTGAAATTTCTGCAACTTTTAAATACTGATATTTTTTACTTAGGTTATAGTCGCTCGTTTCGATAGTGATAAATCTGTAGCTCTTAGCGTGGTCCAAACCTATGTGGATGATGATGTAATTACGTAAATCAATTCTTATTACGTATAAATGTTCATTCTTTTGTTAATTTGATAGATTTTTTTGAGTTTAGGAAGAGGAAAATTTTTACTGCTGTGCTTGGTCTGTTGATCCGAACGTTGGAGCCCCGTTGCTTGCTGTGGCTGGCGCAACAGGAATCCTCAAAATCTTAAACACAAGCGTTGGAATTGCCGTGAAGGTATTACTTTAAGAAATGAATGTTTACATAAATTGAATTTTGCTAAATTTAAATTCCTTAAACTGAAATAAACATAGGCTCTTACAGGACACGGTGATGCAAGTTCGATATACGATTAAATTCTATACCTTTTATAAATCCCTTTATTTACATTAAAGAAATCTTTACTAATATATAGGAAATTAATGAGATTAAATTTCATCCAAAAGATCGATCCCTTCTTTTTTCTGCAAGCAAAGACTTTTCTATACGTTTGTGGAATTTAAAAACCATGCGACCTGTTGTAATTTTCGGCGGAGAGTGTGGTCATCGTGAACCTGTTTTAAGCATAGTAATGTTTCTTAAATTCATCACTACCAAATCACTTTTAATTTGAAAGAAATTCTTACAAGGATCTGAATCCCTTTAGGATGTGCATTTATCTGGTGATTTCTTAGTTTCTTCTGGGATGGATCACGCAGTGAAAATATGGACATTATGTACGCCGGTAATAAAACATACAATTGAGTCGTCATTTATTACAAGACCATCGTCATCTCGTTCGCCACAATCACCACCGCCACTACAAAAATGTTGTTCATCTCATGGTACAGCATCAATGCCGGTTTTTGTACATTTTCCAATATTCTCAACAACTCAATTACATAATAACTATGTTGACTGTGTAAGATGGTATGGTGATTTGTTAATGTCGAGGTGTGCAGCAGATACGACAATTATGTTGTGGAAACCAGATGTTGAATTAGTTGCGTTCGACAAGTCTAACGTTGCAACAGTAGTTGTGGGTGGACCAGCTGCCCCGAGTAAAGTAAGAATATTTGATATTAACCATAAATTTATCGAGAATTTCTTTTTATAACCTAATAACAAAACGAATTGAACTTTCTAGCAACCAACGAGTTTCGACATAATTTGTGAATTTGAATTCAATCATTGTGACATCTGGTTTCTTCGCTTTGGAATTTCACCAGACTATCGAATGCTCGCAAGTGGAAATCAAGTAGGGCAAATTTATTTATGGGATTTGCAAGATATCTCATATTATATTGACGACTATATCGCAAAGAAAAAGTCGAAAAGTTCAGGAGCGAAAAAGGAAAAAGTTGTTGTAAGAAAGAAAGGCGGAACCACTAAAGTTAATAAAAAGTCTAGTGATCTTAACGAAACATTAGCAGCTGGAAGTAGTTCTCGTGTAGGGGAATATGCTGTTATCAAGAAACCGACCATTCTCGATTCAGATCCATGTGAGAGCACGATTCGACAATTAGATTTTTCAAAAGATAGACAATGGATTGTGGCAGTTTGTGATGATGGTTCGATTTGGTGTTGGAGATTGAATATTGATGTAAAATCTCAAGAAATAATTAATAAGGATAAAGTGATTAATAATGAGGATAAAGTGATTACAAAGGAGGATAAAGTGACAAAAGGTTCAGGAAATAATGAAGATGATCCAATGATTATAGATGATTAATTATTAATCTTATCAGTATCTCAAGAACCATTTGGCACTTTTGAATACTAAAAACGTTAATGTAATTTTGTTTTTGTTTTTATTTGGTTATACTCTTGTTGAGTTTGGCCTTTTTTAAAAATTAGAATTATTAAGTACTGATAGAATTTAATTTACTTAATGAGTAAAATTTATCTAAAGTTCTAAAATCAGTTATATTTAGATAGATAATAGAATTTGTTTAGATCTTAGACCTAGACATTCAATACAAATAATAAAGCTACCAATTGTGCACTTTGGAAATAGAGTGTTCGTGTTCGTGCTCGTGTTCATATTCAACTTCCACGTACGTTCCACCTATGAAAAGATTTTTTAATTAATAAATAAAAATAATGGTTAACATTAACAAAATCAAATTCCAATCAATACTCACGTTTTTTCTTTTTCGGTCGCTGGTCTTTATTTACAACTCTTCTTTTACTCTATTAATGAAAGTAAAATAAGCTTAAAGATTAAAGAGTTTACACGGATTATTCAAATTTTTTAAATTTTTTTTTACCTTATTATCTCCTCCATCACCTTCCTTTTCAATTTCTTGTTCCTCATCATCGCCTATCTCGTCATCTATTTCTTCAAATCCTTCAAGCAAATCATCATCACTATTCTCTTCTTCATTCTTCTTTGAAATGAATATAGAATTTAAAGATATCATAAAATATGAATTATAATCAAACACATCTTAGAATAGAAATATACCTCATGGTACTCATTTTCTTCAAGAATATCTTCCAGGTCTTCTAATTCAATTTCACTGTCATCTTCGATAAATTCAGGTTCACACTCCAAATCTTCAACTTCACTTTCACTAGTAAAGTCATCTTCCGCCTCGACTTTATCGCTCTCTAATACTGACCTCCATACTTCTTCATTAACATTGAGCGGCGTGTCACCATAAGCTTTGCTTTTTAGACGACTTATCAATTCTTTCTCAATAGCCTTATCTAGTCGCGCTGCGGCCTCTGCTTTTCGTTCTCTTGTAGCTTCGCGCCTTTCGATTTTCTTTTTAATGCCAACAAGTTTTACCCTATCGAGAACAAAAAAAAAAATTAATTAACTGTTAAATTGTAAATTAAATTAATTTGAAGATTTGTAATATTTATAATCACCGATCCTTTAATCTTAATTTTCTCATCCGTATTAAATATTGAGTTATTTTAGTTAAGCGTTGCTTACATTTATGAACCAAAAAATTTGGCCAATACATTAAATCCTTATCGATCTTTAGTTTATTTGTCAAACAAGAATATCAAATTGTAAGCGTTTGTAAAATGTTAGAATTCAAATATTGTTAATTTTAGCATACCTGTTCTAATGCCTTGGCATAGTTCTTTGGTAATTTAATACGCTCCCACATTTTAGCTGGCATATTTGCTCGTTCTGGAACCTTTTTGTACAAATAAATTATACCTAAAAAAGAAGGAAAAAAAGTTTGAAACCATAAAGATTAATCGTAACTAATAAAAATAATTATTAAATTAATCACCATCAATCTCCCGAACGGTTGCATATCGAGAATTAGCTAAAGGACATGACTGTCTACTACAAAACCCTGTAACATTATACTCATTTCGACAGAAGTTCTGGGTTACAGTTCTATAAAAATAATATTTGATGTTGAACAATTAATAAAAATAATAATTAAATCAAATCACAAGACTTAATAACACTTACTTGACTTTATAAGAACAAAATTGTTGATTTATAACTTGCCATACGACCTCGTCTGACATCTTGATAAAAAATTAAAAATTTTTGACGAGACCTCTTTATAAGTCGGTAGTGTAACAGTAGTGTAACTATATAGATTAGATCCGATCGACCAATAAATTGAGCCAAATCAAAAAAAAAAAAAAAAACGCGAATTTTATGTTCTTGCCAAAATGGTTAAGAAAGCGATAGATTCGAGAATTTCTACACTAGTGAAAAATGGTGTTCAGAATAAGCACCGAACATTCTTTGTCATTGTTGGTGACAAAGGCAAAGACCAAGTATGTTACTTTAAGTTAGTTTAATATCCTTGCCTGTATTCATAATTCTAGAATAATAAAATCCGTTTTATTTAAATCTTAGTAATTTAGTATAATTCTATATTTAGGTGGTAAATTTACACTGGTTACTTTCACAAGCTCAAATTACCGCAAGACCTTCAGTTTTGTGGTGTTATAAGAAAGATTTGGGCTTTTCTAGGTTAGAATAATACCCTTATCAGGATATTTAGTTTTTTTTTTAATTTCATCATCCATTATTAATCTATCATTAATCAGTCATCGTAAGAAAAGGGAGGCAAAGATAAAAAAGGAAATTAAACGTGGAATAAGAGAAGCTAATACCGAAGATCCATTTGAGTTATTTATTGCCGTAACTAATATTCGATATACTTATTATAAAGAGACGCATAAAATTTTGGGTAATACATATGGAATGTGTGTATTGCAGGTATGTTGTTATTCAAATTTTAATTCACTTAATTCATTATATATACATTTTATCGATAAAAGTAAATTTATTTTAGGACTTTGAGGCATTGACTCCAAATTTATTAGCACGTACTATCGAGACAGTAGAAGGCGGTGGTATTGTCATATTATTATTAAAAACAATGAAATCATTAAAGCAACTATACACATTAACTATGGTTTGGTCTATTCCTATTATGTTAATTATCGAATTGATCACTCTAATAATTAATAACGTACTGATGCCTCAATAGGACGTACATTCACGTTATAGAACTGAAGCTTATGATGATGTGACTGCACGATTTAATGAACGTTTCATTCTTTCACTTGGATCATGCGAAAATTGTTTGGTGGTTGATGATGAATTAAATGTTTTACCTATTTCAGCTGGTAAAAATGTTAAGCCATTACCGTTAAAAAGCTCAGAAGATTTATTAACAGAATCACAAATTGAATTGAAAGAGTTGAAAATTTCTTTAGCAGACACGCAGCCTGTTGGTTCTTTAATTTTAACTGCAAAAACATTGGATCAAGCCAAAGCTATTCTCACATTTATTGAAGCAATTAGCGAAAAAACTTTGCGAAATACAGTTACTCTTACTGCTTCTCGTGGACGTGGTAAATCTGCAGCTCTTGGAATTGCGATCGCTTCTGCTGTTGCTTATGGTTATTCAAATATATTTGTAACATCCCCCAGTCCTGAAAATTTGAAAACTTTATTTGAATTTATTTTTAAGGGATTTGATGCTTTACGATATGAAGAGCATTTAGATTATGATATAATTCAATCAACCAATCCCGATTTTAACAAGGCAATTGTTAGGGTAAATATTTTCAGGCAACATCGGCAGACTATTCAAGTGAGTAAAGATATATTTTGCAATTCATCTTGTAATTCTATTTATGTGATCATACTGACCATATGAACAGTATATTCAGCCACAGGATGCACATGTTCTTGGGCAGGCCGAATTAGTAGTGATTGATGAAGCGGCTGCTATTCCTCTTACTTATGTAAAAAATCTAATCGGACCATACTTGGTATTTATGGCCTCAACTATCAATGGATATGAGGGAACTGGAAGATCTCTTTCCCTTAAACTTATTCAACAACTTCGTGAACAATCTAAAGGTTTCATTGGAAAAGAAAGACGAACTGGTGGTTCTGATGAAATTGCTATTGTTGGTCGTGATGGAAAAGCTAAAAATGAAGAATCATTCACCTTGAATGGTGCAACAGCTGGTGGTCGCATACTTCGAGAAATTAAACTAGAAGAACCAATTAGATACGCTTTAAATGACTCCGTTGAGAAGTGGCTGAATAAACTTTTATGTTTAGACGCGTCTATTATTTCCAAAAACATTCAAGGCTGTCCACATCCACAAAAATGTGAATTATATTATGTAAATCGGGACACTTTATTTTCTTTTCATCCTGTATCAGAAACTTTTCTACAAAGAATGATGGCATTATATGTTGCAAGTCATTATAAAAATTCACCTAATGACTTACAGTTAATGTCTGATGCTCCAGCCCATCATTTATTTGTCTTATTACCACCTATAACAGAAGGAGATAATTCATTACCTGACCCTCTATGCGTTGTACAAGTAAATATTTTCACTCAAATTTTGATTTATCTTATGAAATAAGGTTTAACATGTTATTATTATTCATTTTATGAAAGGTATGTTTGGAAGGTGAAATATCCAAAAGAGCCGTTTTAAATAGCTTAAGTAGAGGCCAGCGAGCCAGTGGAGATTTGATTCCTTGGTTAATTTCACAACAGGTTTGTCTTTTATTTTTTACGCGCGTTACTAATTATGATTTTATGCATATTAACTTTTTGTGTATGATCTTAGTTCCAGGATGACGATTTCGCGAATTTATCTGGAGCTCGCATAGTTAGAATTGCAACGCATCCCGACTATATTAAGGTTTCTTCATTAAACACACGTTATACTACTTTTTACTCAATGTACAACAATTAGTAAACAGACTTTTATCATATGTTTAGATGGGTTATGGATCTCGTAGCTTGGAAATGCTTAGCTCGTTTTATCAAGGTGAATTTACCGTTTTTAATGAAAATGAGGATTATCAGCAAGAGAGTATAGTAAGAGTTGACGACGCCGAACTAGAAGTAAGTGTTAAAGTGAATTTGTGCATTATGAATTTGTATTCATTTGTATTCAAATTTATTCAATGATTATCAATATAATAGAACGCCAGTCTTCGTAATGATGAAATTAAAATTCGGGATCCTCGCAAAATGCCACCTTTACTTTTGAAACTTTCTGAGAAACGTCCAGTAAGATTACATTATTTAGGTGTTTCATATGGGTTGACGCCATTATTGCACAAATTTTGGAAACGTGCAGGATTTGTCCCTCTTTACCTTCGACAAACTCCTAACGATTTAACAGGAGAACACACATGTGTAATGCTCAGGGCTTTGAAATCTGATGATCTTATTACTACATGTGACCCCAAATGGTTGGCCGCATTTTCAAAAGATTTTCACAAAAGGTTTTTGAATTTGTTGTCATATCAATTTCGTAGCTTTCCAAGTGTGTTATCACTTAGCATTATGGAAGCAGCTGATGCCGGAAATGAGAATGCAGAAGATGAAATTCAATGTAAGTACATATATTTTATAATATACGATTTTGTAATAAGATCCACTTTTATTATTATTAAATTATTTAACATGTATGTATTGTCAGCATTTAGAAAATCCGCACTTGAATCGAATTTTTCAGTTTATGATTTGAAACGACTTGAATCATACTCTAATAATATGCTAGATTATCATGCAATTCTTGATTTACTTCCAATTATTGCATATTTACATTTTAGCAAGAAATTAGGAGATCATGTAAAATTATCTGGCGTTCAAAGTTCAATATTGTTGGGTATCGGATTACAAAGAAAAAGTGTTGATGATTTAGAGGTAAAAATAGATAACTTTATTTTTGTGATTATATAAAAATATAACTAAAATCGCTTCAAATTTAATTTATAGAGAGAATTAACATTGCCTTCAAGTCAAATCCTTGCTTTATTCATCAAATTAGTTCGTAAATTTTCAACATATTTCCGATCATTAGAAACAGAAGCGATGCAAAAAGAAATTCCAGATGAAACGATGGTTATAAAAAGAAAAGGTGTTACAGAAAACATTTCTAAGCAACAAACTACTGATAACAATAAAGAATCAACATCAAGCCTTAAAGAAAATAATGAGGCATTATGGGATCCAGTATCTAGGACTCTAGATGAAGATTTAAATGAAGCTGGAAAAGAAGTGATGAGTCAAATGATTGAAAAACAGAAAGAACTGATTAATTCATTAGATTTATCAAAGTGATTATAATTAAAGTGACTTTTCTCTATTAGCAATTTAACTTTATTTATTATTAATTCAATAAATTAATGAGAAATAGATTTTAACTGATTTATTTAATTTTTACTTTAGGTATGCAATAAGTGGTACATCAGAAAGTTGGGAAAAAGCACAATCAAAAATTGCTTCAGGTAAGCAAAATATCTCAACAATTGTTAGTATAAAAAATTTGGAATCAGCAAAAAAACGTAAAAAAACGGAAGCTGCTGTAGATATAGTAGCTAATGAATTTAAGAAGTTAAGTAATGAAAGGAAAAAATTCAAAAAATCAAAAAAATAATTTAATAAAAAATTTTTTTATTTTATTAAAAAGTAATATTAAATTAAGATTAATGATGTAATTTCAAATAAAGAATAATAAAAATAAAATAAATATTATTTATTTAATTACTTTATTATAATTAATTAAGTTAAATTTTTATATAAAATTATATATACAAAAATTATAATTATTTTTCTTTTTATTTAAAAATATAAAATCAATTCATTAAATTTATTAAAAGATAATAAAATTACTTAATTATTTAATTATATAATCTAAATATTAAAAGTAAAATACTAAAATAAAAATATTATAAGTTTTTAAATGTATTAATAAATATTATAAATTAAAAGTAAATTTTATTATTATATATTTTATATATATTATATAATGTATTATTTACATTGGTTAATATTACTTTGTGATATTAACCAATATAAATAATACATTGTATAATATCTATAAAATCATAGCTCACAAGATTATAAAAAAAAGCTTATTGAATATTAACAATTTTTTTTTAATTTCTATTATTCTTTAACATTATCTCGAATTAATATGTATTATAAAATAATAGTATTTATAAAAAAAAATCATAAAATTTAATATTGAACACAAATAAGTTACTAATATTTAAATATTATATAATATAAAAAATTTAATCAAATAATCTTAATATAATCCTATATAGCCATGTAATAATTAGGGTTCCTCAAAATCAAATCAAATCAAATATTTAAGCAATTTGAATTTGATTTGATTTTTTCAAATTGAAT